CATTCACATGTAGGCTGGGCACTTCCCCACGGAACAGAGCCCCCCCCTCCATTCTATCAGGGTCTGATATTTATGGATTTTCTGTCAAGTCACAGTTTCTCAGCCTCTGGGCACACTGGGTGAGCTACTATGCACACAGCAGAGAATAAAACTTAAGGAACTCATAATCCTGGGGAAGTGCTATGGGCAGGAATTACGAAAGCAGCAAAAAGAATTCTGGACAGACCTATGATGGAGCTGTAAATGGCCACCAAGAGAAGCTGGGATACACCTGATCTTTGAGGCTGCTGGAGTGAAGAGCAAGCACCTCCCTTGGCACGTTCCCTGGGGCCACCGTCCCACATAAGATGACACTGTGGAGCATGGATGGCTTGGGCCCAAAGCGACACCTTCTGTGTTCCCATGACAAACGCACAGAACATGAATGCCCCCTCCCCCCTTACTCTCTTGGTTGAGGAAGGAGACGGGAGGTAGTGGGATTTGAATCCAGAACTATTTGGTTCCAACTCTATGTTCTTCCTACTTTGCCATATGGGATAAGCTGCTCACGGCAGCCTAAACGTTGGGAGCCATGTCGGCCTTTTGAGCCCTTAAGTTGCTTGTGCAGGCTCAAGCTGTGCTGAGAAAAGACATGGTTGGCTTTCCCTATCGGCCTGGCGGCGGGAAGGGAGAACCAGTCTCTTGGAGGAGCTAAGTGCGTCTTCCACAGAGCCATGTGTGGACCCAACTGGATGGGACCCCCAGCTTCCATCTTGGGGACACAGACAGTACGCAGTCTTCTAGACCAGTGGCCGTATTGTTGCTCAGCATCGCTAAGCTGGGAACACCCACCACCTCTCTTGAGCATCTGTTTCAGCTCCTGCCAACCTCCGTGGGATGTCCTTTCTACCTTGAGTTTCACTTGGGTAGTTAGTGCCTTCTGTCTTCGTCCATAGACCTGTAAGGAAGTTCTCACATTTGGCTTATAACTGTGGGGTCTCCCCTCTTTCTCTTGCCTGTTTAGAACACTCTTTACGTCCTTCCTGATGTGCCCTTAGTTAACTTGCCTGGCTGCACAGTTTAGGCGGTGCGAGCTGGCTCAGAGCCCCGGTGCCTTTCTGCACTGCCCGGCACTAGCAGCGCTCTGCTTTGCCACCTCCCTGCTAGTGTTTTAAGACCACAGTCTGCACACGCAGTTTTTATTTGTGTACTTTTTCAAGGCTCTAAGTTGTTGGAAGGCATTACTCATAACTCAATTTGGTGAATATCTATCTAGATACTCAAGGTTGAGTTAAATATACCAAGTATTTGTAACTGCTTCTCTCACTATCCTAATTATAAGAGGGAGGGGGATGCCAAGCCTTTGAAACCTGAAACCAAAGATTCAGCAAAATGCTGGGGAGACCCACCCATCTGTGCATCCCGGCAACTTTACATGTTGAAGTGTTGCTACAACCTGCTGGCTGCAAATGATAAATTTAGCCTGAAAGATGGCTCAACGTTCCAAAGCCTAGGAAGCAAGCTGATTGCTTTGCAAAGGGAGAAGGAGGCAAGTGTCTGAACAGAGCAGGAGCTGGACAGAGCCAGAGCTGGGAGGAGCGAGCTGCCATTCCGTCCAAGGTCTGGAGACGGGGGTCCTAACACTGCACCCTCTGCCTCTATCCTGCCCCAGCCCTGCCCCGCCCCGCCCCAGCCCTGCCCACCAATGCCTGGCAGAACAAAGAACTATCTTCACAGTTCAATCTGAGCTCCTCTCCCTGCCGGCGTTTGTACTGACATTGAACCCAAGCACAACCTGGTAGGTAGAGTTCTTTAATGTGACACCTCCCATATGTATATTACACACCCAGGGACGTAGGCTCTAACCTGTGTCAACTGTTGGTTTTAACACCCGAGAGAACTGAAGAGGGCTAATGCTCTCCAATAGTTGGGGTGTCTTTAGGAGGACAGGCACCTTCTTCTCTGATTAGCACACTTCTGCAAAAGAAAGCAGTTAGAGTCCTGTCTGCTAGGGCGTGAGAAATATGTGTGGGCTAAGAGTGTTTGAGGGAAGGATGAACTTACCAGAGGCAAACAAGGTGGGCCTTTATGGGAGACCTTTCCGCCTGGGAATTTTTTTGCCTTGGGCCTACCTTCTGAAAGGGCTGGAAGAAGCCAGGTGTAGGTATCAGCTGGATTGCCTACAGAGACTAGGAAATTCTTAAAGGTGCTGACAAAGTTTTCCCTCACTCTGCAATTACCTCCGTGCCTGGCCTTCTAAATGGGGAAAGTGAGCGATGGGTGTCCTTTCAGAAGTTCAGGGGCTATAAATTCTATTAACAGCACCGCCTTCTCTGGCTTTACAGTTAAAATGGCTCTCTACCCATGAATGCAGGGGCATGAACAATACTATTGTGGGTTACACTGACATCTTTGTCTTAGAGAGCTCATGACGTTTCCCTTGGGAGGAAGGGGCAAGTTACTGTTTTCATGTTATTGATAAAGATGAAGGGGAGAAGAGAGTAAAGTGACCACAGATAAATAAGCGGCAATATAAGACTTAATACTAAGTTCACAGTGGATGACAAATGATGGCAGATCAACTTCCCTCCAGCAGCTGCAGGCCTCATCCTGTTGGCCCGGGGACTGGGATCCGGCAAATGACACAGAGGGGGCAGGAGGGAATTCATTACTTCTAGAGTTTGTGGCACAGAGGAACTGTTTTCCATAAACTGCTCCCATGAAAACATAGCATCTCAGAGATGGTCACTGGTGCGGGAACCGAGAGCAAGTCTGTCTGACAAAGGCTGTGTGTTCTGTCCCCTATACCAGGCAGAACTGGCTTCCAGAACTTCTACAAGGTTCAAACCCACTGCATTGGATGACACTGGTTTTAGGAAAATTATCTCAGGGTTCTATCTGAAATTTGATTAAAACTGTTGCCAGGAAGCCAGTGACCCCAGGAGAGGCATCCGTGATGGTCTCAGAATTTGGGGTGTAGAGTGGGAAAAAGAAAAGTTATCTATGAAATCTATTGGAGGTGCCAGAATTCGGTCGATAATCCTTTTTATCTCTTTCTTGGACTCTCTAGAGAAAGCTCTTTGTACAAAGCAGTTCTCTTCTGCTTTGCCACAGAGAAGAAACAAGCACTCAATCACCAAGCATCATTTCAAAGGGTGACTTAGTCTTTGGTCAAAATGAATTGGGCCTGTCACTTTTAAAGTGATTCATTCCAGTAAAGGATGGAGAATTTATTACTTTTCAAAACAGATCACTGTGGTGTTGACCTAAAAAGGTGCGAGTGAAGCCTGCAGTGCGGGTCTGACCATGCCGGGCCCAGGCTCTTCCTTCTGTCACACAGCACGGCGTGCCTTTTCACAGGAGGTACCGCAGCTGAGGTCTCTATTCTATTTATTTGAGGCTGAGGTTAAAAAAAAAAAAATTTCAGAAAGCAGACACTTTCTACCCCCAGATAGCTTAGCAACATTTAAAATGGAATTTGTTTCTCCCTAGTTCGAGAAGCAACTCTCAACATGTAATTACGATCAAAGAAATTTTTTTTAAAGAAAAGGTTGGCAAGCAGTTAAGTGTATCATTGATTTTGTTCCAATTTTAGTATGTGTGTTGCAGAAGTGAGCAGTATCACCGATTTCAGGATAACAGATCCATGTGTGTGTCTCTCTTTGCCCCATTCTCCTTTTAAGAACGTGGAGATATTACACTTGCAATTATTAATTTCAAGTGTTTGGTTAGAGCATCACATGGGTTTATGTCTGTGTGAGATGATGTAGGAGAAGTCAAAAAAAAAAAAAAAAGGAAAAAAACCGTCCCTTCTAAATGTAGGAGGGTAACAGTAGACTCCTCGGCCTAGTGGACGGCACATCATGAAGGGTTAGTGAGAGTCCAATCCTTTCCCGCCCACCTTTTCTCCTTAGAAGAGAAAGCACGCTCCCGAGGGAGGTGTGGGAGGTGGTATTCTGAGGAACACAGCTGATGGTGTGCCCGAAGAAGGGCCAAAGCTTAAAGCCCCAGTCAGAAGCTGTGAGGAAACCTACTTTTTTCCATGCCTCCTGGGTGACCCATAAAATGAGAATAAAACCTGTCTTCTGTGCAATAAGCTAGAGACTTTTTATGCTCTAAGAATAAAAAGAGCTATAGAAACGCAAAGCTTTATTTATTACTAATACTCAGCAGGGACTAATTCCCATATGGACATTTTAGGGCCTGAACAACTTGGCAAGGGCTCTTCTGCCTCCCTCCAAGATTAAGCTCCTCATCTCTGGGAACATCAAAATCAATCTGCTATGGTAGCTTGAAGAGTCCTTATCCATCAGGCCCTAAACAATCTACTATCTCTCTTCAGAGCCAAAGAAAAAGCTTTAAAATCTTCTGTGACCTTCCTCTCGTCATGTTTCGCTGAAAATCACAAAATGTTCATTGGGAAGCACAGGCAGGCATATATTCTGCTGGTTGAGTCCAAAAGAAAAACCAGGAGCTGGGATAAATGAAGTGTTACAGGAAATCTGGGCCACTTGTGGACTCCTAGAACAACTATCCTCTAGAAAGTAGCTATAAATACCTTTAGAAATAATTTCCCTTCAAAGGCCCGGGGAAAACATGCCAATTGGATTTTTACAAATGAAAGGTTTACTTTGTCTGGTAAAAGAAAACCTTTACTTCCAAAGGCTGAAAGGCCTAGGCAGGGCTGGGCAGGTTAGTCTGTGGGGTGACACTGCCACCTGGTGGCTGGCATCCACGATGGCACGAGGCGCTCAGCAACCGAGAAACCACTGTTCAAAGAATAACCAGGGCTATTAATAAAAAAGAAACCGAGTTTCCAGAACAGCCCTTCCTACTGAGAGGCTAATTCTTGTAAAAGTGGCCCCATACATGCAAGAAAAAATAATTTAAGCTTGGAATTTACTGTGTGATATGAGCAAAAGACTTTGTCTCTCCACTGGATTCTTAGTACCAACTATACTGAAAGATGTGATAAAAAAAAAAAAACCACATTTCCACTGAAGAAAATTCTGAAACATTTTACTTCATATTATATATACTTTTTTTTTTTTTAAAGGCAGAAACATTTAGGGTAACACCATTGATGCGAAAAAACCTTGAGCCACAGGACCTTGAAAATCAGTCTTAAAATGTTTTGCTTTACATCGTCTTTTTCATGGCTGCTTGAGTCATGCTGAAGAGATAAGCTTCATAGATGATATTTAAGAAGTTGTCATCGTTCTGGAAAACAAAATCAAAAGACCCAAGGGAATGTGATTTGCTTGGCAGAAACCAAAGGAGCAGAACTGCTGTGCTGACACTAGGATGCTCATCTCTACCAGTCTGCTCCAACAGCTGGTAGTTCTTCACTGCATATGGGAATCTTTTTTTTTTTTTAAGATTTTATCTTTTCATTTGAATGAGAGAGAGAGAATGAGTGGAGAAGAGCGGCAGAGGGAGATGGAGAAGCAGACTCCCTGCTGAGCCAGGAGCGTGACCTGGGGCTCGATCCCATGAGATCATGAGCTGAAGGCAGACGCTTAACCATCTGAGCCACCGAGGCGCCCTGCATATGTGAGTGTTAAGTGCAAATGGAGGCAAGGGCCGGAGTCAGCCGCTGGTTTCCAACCATCAATCTGGGAAGCAGCAAGGGCTCATTACATACAGTCCAGATGGGTGGCCCAGCCACATGGCAGAATGGAATGAGGTTCACTCAAGAAAAGCCTGCGTCTGTTGTGTGAAAAGGAGGCTGGGTTGGGAGGCAATGATCCAGATCAAGGGTTCTCCAAGTTTGGTTAGGAGATTGCTGGTGCTTCTTAAAGGTCCTCCGAAGTCTCCCACAAAGTGTATACTTTGCTCTTGACATTAGTTAAGATTTACTTGCAATATGCCACATTTATCTCATCAAAACCTGCATAATTCCCCCATCAGTTACAGAAAGCTTTTGGTGTTGGCAAGTGGGCAGCCGTGAGACTGGTAGGCTCTGGGTTCCTCTGCCTGGCTAAGGGCTGACGGAGAATCATGGGTCTAAACAGTGGGGCTCTTGGTTTTTAATTCTAGAGACTTCTCCCTCCCACTCAAATCCTTTAAAGCTTTAGCAATTCACCCACATTTCACATTCCCCCTTCATTCCCTCTTAGCACCCCACGCACAGAACTAGCATTATTCTCATGCAATAAAACAGAGCAATGTTATCCCAGTTTTTCCTTATCCCACCAAGTCCCTGTGCGTGAGACTGTGTCCTATCGACAGGCAAAAGCTAAAAACAGACTGCCTGAGTGACTTCCAAGAGTTCATCAGGAAGACGATGTCTACAACACGGGGAAAAGTAAAGTGTATGCAGAGAGCGGAGGGAACATAAATGTAATTTTCCACCTAGCAATAGACAGGGCCTGCTCTAGACTTTCAGAGTCTTGGCTCCTGTACAAAGATCTATGGAACCATGTTTTTAAAATGGAATGAACCAGAAAAATGTGAAACTTTTCGATTCAAATTTAAGGTTTTTTTCTTTATTGCTCATGAAAAAAAAGATATGAAGAAGAAGAAGAAGAAGAAGAAAAAGAAGCAGCAGCAGCTTAAAGATTGTTCTAAGTTCTTACAAACTTACCAGGAGTGGGCTGACTAGGTGGGAAATACTTTTATCCCAATATTTGTTCGTGGATTAGTATGGCCACCCATGTGTGGTTGATCTTTATCGGACTGCTAGTCTGCTTTCACACTCAGACACTCATTTCTAGCCCCCGCGCCTTCCCTTCTCTCTAAAATACATGACCTTTAAATAGTTTTTTAATAACAGAGACCAGTCTTTTCAACTAGGATGAGACAACTGCGAAGTGCTAGGCAGCCCTCCAGAAGTCTGCTAAAGCGTAAGCAAAGTACCACAAAAGGTTTCTTAAAGACTGTATCAAAAAGACACCTAACTGTTCACCGAGGGGCCTAAAGTCTGTCTGGGTGAAGGTGCCCCACTTTTCAAGCCCTCGCGTATATTTTCCGGGCATGCTTCACTAGGTGGACGGCTGACCAGCCTCCTCCTGGGGGCCCGCCCCTCCCACCCCCGTCACTACCGCGGCCCCCAGTTCTGTGCCAGGGAAGGAATATTCTGCAGCCAGACTGGGGTTGAATCCTAGCTCTGCTGTTTACTAGCTGTGACCTCAGGCCCGTCCTTTAGCCTCAGTTTCCTTGTCTCTAAAACAGAAAAAAAAAAAAAAAATAGGGTTGTTGTATAAGGATTAAATGCATCAATGTAGGTGAAGCCTGGCACAGAGCTCTCCAAAAGTGTCAGCGATTACATGGTGAAGACCTCACAGGGCCGAGCCAGGCACATGGCTCACAGAGAAGTCCCGGCCCTCCATCCTGTCCTCGTTAGTAGGTTTCAGAATTATTTGTAAAATATGCCCTTTGGAATCCCAAACACAACTCGCTGCCCCCCCTGCACCCTCCTCCTGCAGCAGTCCGTGGGAGCCTGCCCCCGCCCCCTGAAATGCCCACTGCTTGCCCCACATGAATTTGATCTCTACTGCCTGCCTGCCGGTGAGCTGTCTGCACGCCGTGGGGCACCTGCTCATGACACAGCACGAACTTCTTTCTTTTCTGGCAGGTGACAGTTTGGAGGACTCAGTCAATCCTCCATCCTATGAAATCCTTGATGTTGGGAGATGCCCAAAGCCACGGCCAGTTAACTGGGCACAGAAGCCATGCGGTTTAGGTTGAACTGTCACGCGGTCTCTTTATTCTCAGGGAGGACTAAGCAGGCATTGGCTAACTGACACTTTCTTTCCCCGTGGCAGCCCCCCAGTGGGCAGTGCTGGTAAAGGAAAGAAGGGAGAGAACGTGGCCCTCCTACCTGAACGAGGTACAGCAGGGCTTCCTGGAGCTGGAGCTTGGTGAGTGGGCTGCTGGTGACCATGGGGGGCTCCGGGGCCGGCAGAGGCAGGAGGAGGCTGGTGGAAGCGGCAGCAGTTTCTTGGCTTCCCAGGGGCAAGGGCCCGGCGTCTCTCTCCTTCGGTGGGGCGCAGGTGGGTTGTGTGAACACCATGGGGGACATGAGCAGAGAAGGAGCCCGTGTGGCGGGGATGCGCGGAGGCGAGGCGGCCTGCTCACGGCAAATACACACAGAGGGCAGCGGTAAGTAGCGGCTCATCAAGATCAAAGGGAGAGGGAGAGTGAGGTCCCTGGCTGGCAAGCGTGGAGATAAGTGGGTCTCAAGAGTAATCGTTGCCACTCCACGGGGTTGGGGGGAGGGCAAAGATGCAGGAGCCTGATTCCTGGTCGGATCTCCACACAGGCTCCTTCGTCATCATTACAAAGCAGCTCAGGTGGTCTGTGCTGTGACTGTCACCCCCCTAGCACAGGAAGCTCGCCCCCTGAGTAAGATTTTTATCTTTCTGGTTTCTTACCATCACTTGGCAGCCTGCATTTAAGTCTGCTGGCCTTTTCCCTGGTTGTCCCTAGTCTGACCTCAAGCTCCAGCAAACCCCCGGGAGTTGCTGCACTTGCTGGGGGCACACACACATTTACTCCATGTGGAGGATGCTTCCCAGCCTCTCCGCCTGCTGGCTCACTTCTCCCTGGGAGGCAGGCACGCTGACCAGTGTTCACCACTCCTGCGTCCCTTCCTGAGAAGACGTCCCCGCTTGCGGACAGCATACACTACTGGTGTCTCCAGCTCAAGTTTTGGGGTCCGGGAGGGCTTGTTGTGCTCGGCACTGCCAGTGACTTGTCTGTCCCCGAGAGCATGTCTACCTCACTTGGCTAAAAATCTAAAACCAAGTTTTCCAGTAGCTTTTCCCGTTATGCAAGTGACATTTTGCTCTTCGTCTGACTCCTACCGCTAGCTCTCATTTGCTTCTAATGCAGGTGAGAAAAAAGAATGTTACTTATCAGCCTTCTAATGCTCCCAAAAGAACTCACGAGAAGGGGGCCATAAAGGCCCGCAGTCTAGAAGCTGCTGTGATTTCACCTCCTCGGTATGTTTGTAGGCAGAAAGAAGCTTGGAGGAAGGTAGGTTGCTTGTTTCCTTTAACTGTCCCTATCTGTCATAGGGAGCCAGGGAGCTAGAATGGATGCCGCCCCAGCAGGGTCCCAGCACCCGCCCCGAGGAGGAGCGCATGGTCCACACCTGGGTGCTCAAGAGAAATGAGAAGAATTGTGTCTGCAGAAGCCGATGTCAAAGTACTAACTCCAGCTTCCCAGTGTCCCAACTAGTGTCCTAGTTTTCCTAGTGTCCCATCCCGCCAAGAGAAAAAAAGCAGGTATGAAAGAGAGGGGACACCATGCAGTGAAACAAGGATGTGGGCAGCTAACAACCGTTCCTTTGTGACTGTAATAAATAAAGAACAAAAACACTTTGACTCGGGCTCTCACATACACAAAGACTTGTGCTATGTGCCCATCATCTTTGTTTTCAAAAAAGTGAAGGCTTGTTGAGGAACTGTTGTAAGCTACTTGCCAAAACATGACAAAAGGACCAAGGATGACATCTGTAATAAGCAGGGAGAATGTCTTAATTATTAAACCCAATGCCTTTTCAATGAATTTGTACCAATCCAAATGGGGAAAAAAAAAAAAAATCAGTCAGATCTCCAAATGTTCCTCACAGGCCATCAAATAGCTGTGGTTTCATCGCTGTTTCAAGTTACTGATACATAGAGAGCCACCTTCCTTGAAGGACAGGGTGTTTCTAGAACTCACCGTATTTCCCCCTGACTGGCACTCTGTGTGTGTGTGGTGGTGGTGGGAGGGGGTGGAGGGTGAGTTAGATGGCATACTTACTTACTCCTCTCTTGATCTTCATTAAGCTACAGTGGTGATAGAAATAAAAATAGCCTGTATCTTTGAGGAGGTGATACGTTTTTCCTGTTGACTTCAAGCACCCCCACCCAGGACCATGTGCCTGCAGAGGGGGTGAGTACGTAAGCCTCATCACAAACGATGAGGTACATGCCCTCAGGTAGCACAATGCCTGGCATGTAGTAAGTGCTCAGAAATATTTACTGACTAAATAAATAAATAGTAATGATTTTAAAATAAGAAGAAGAGGTCAGATGTCTGGCATCTCAAATGATTTCAACGCAGACGGGAAATGTTCACAGTCAAAGATTCGGGCGTTTTCTACACGTCTCTGTTGTTTTCCGTGTCTATGTGTTTGTCTCAGACCTTGTAACACTGTGAAGATTTAACTTGACAAAGAAAGTACCTCCTAAGGGAGGGGAGCCCCCAGATGGCTAAGCAAAGAAAAGACTGTCTCTCCAGGAGGAACGTTATGGGGATAACAAGGTGCCAGATGTGGCTTGTGGTACCCTGTCCTACACGGAAGCATCCCCAGAGCACTGAGGCTGATTCTAAGTCTCATCAAGTATTTAAGAAGCACTAGAGCAGTACAACCCCCTGCTTCTCCCCCTGCACCCTCCTGAAGATATCTACCTGAAAAAGAGGAGTCTGCTTTTCTGTGCCAGCTGTCTTGTCCATCCAGGACTCCAGAGCTTTCTGTGTCCTGGAGCCCTGAGTTACCACAGGAAACTTGGCTGCCAAGGCTGGTCGGTTAGACGTGTGCAGCTGCTGCTCCTGCTGGACAATCTGAAGCTTCTTCAGTAACTCCTGAGGGGAGATCACTCCAGAACTGCTAGTCTGATTGCCAGAGTGGGGAAGCATGGGTCTTGGGTGTGTGGACGGCTCTTTGCCATGAACCTGGTGTCTTAGTGGCTGAGCTGGAAGGGAGCCATTGAAATACCCTGCCTGTGCCTGAGCCTGCCCCTTTATTGGGGCACCAGGGGTGGCAGTGGGGAGGGTGGTGCTGAGGTTTGGGACAGCTGAGCTGGCAGGGGCTGCTGTGCTAGGCTCATACTTGGTTGCTGGCCTTGGGCCACTCTGAAGCTTCTCCAACAGGCTCTGAGTTCCGGAAGCACTTTGTACCCGCTGAGAAGTTCCAACACTATGTGGAGACCCTGGCTGCACAGGTCCCAGAAAAACTTCTCCAGTGGAACGGGTATTGCCATTTCTGCAGGGCCGGTTCTCGGGCAGCTCCGACAACGGGTGGAGGTCTGCACTCCGGACCATGAGTTTCTGAATGGCGGGACACAGCTGCTTCTCGAGGGTGGGCGAGTATCTTCTGGGTTCCTCATAGGAGAGGGAGCGTACGACCCCCTGCCTAACGGGAAGTGGCTCCTGTTGCCGCTGCTGCTGGTGGATGGTCAGTGGGGACCCCACGGTTTCCTGACAGGTGGATTTGTCCTGCTTCCCAAAGAGAGCTGTCAAGGACAAGTGTTGGGGCTCGGGGTCTAAGGTCTGGAAAAAATAAAAATGTCTGAAAATGGGTCTACATACAATTTGTTATATGGTGGGCTAGGAAACATTACTAACCTGACTGAGCGTATCTTTATTTACATAGGATCAGTTACGGAGAATGAAAAACTTTATAATTCTAATCAATTTTACAAACGTAAGACCTCCTTTCCAGGTAAAAAAATTTTCACAGCCTTCTTCGCTCCCATCCCCCAGAGAGCAATTGTTTTTAGCACCTGCTCGTGGATGAAATAGCCCTTGATGGGCCTGGGGTTCACAGACAGGGGACCACGGTGGTGCAAAGTTCTAGATACTAAAATGGAAATAATCTCTTCAACAGGAAGTCTGCCTAACCCTGCAGAGTATAAGAAGATGTTGAGAACATACAGGAATATGGGGATGTCAGTAGCTTTTCGCAGAATTAGAGAAATTAAGGATAAGTCGTTTAAACTAACTTGATCCTTTCAGCCATACACCAGTAGCTTTAAAAAATCATCTCATGCATACATACAACCGTCCCTGGTCTGAGTCAGTCACAAAGCTACCTCCTTCCTGCCCTATAGCCCTTCCTGCTCCTTCTGCTGCTCTCCATGTTGTTGGGCTAAGAAAACATGAGCTTCCTTCTAACAGCAACATATTCCAGTTTCTTTATTAAAATAAAAAACTCTCATGGAAGGCAAACAATAAAAGCAAGCTAAGAGATAATTAGAAAAGACTTATCTTTTCAAAAATTCAATACAAGACTTTCATTAGCCAGTCTTTATGTCTTTCGGCTCTATGCTCATTTTCAAAATTGATTTAAACGAATTCCTTTAAAAAAACCCCAAACCCTTAATGAGGAATAACTATGGGAAGTGGAAATAGCTGTACTACATTGACAATCAATAATAGGACTTGCAGATTAACAATTTTGTTAATGCTGCACTATTCTGCAAACTATCATAGACTCATACCAAAAAATGCTATCATTTTCATATATTGAGATGCAAATACAATGATAACTCAGCAAGTCTACAGGGGAATTTTATATCACTCCTTAGAACCGGAATCCCATTCTATACACACAGTGCCCAGCACTGTAGCCGGGATAGAGGAAGTGCTCAGAAACGTGTAACTGACTGTTGTTGCTTTGGCTGTCCTCCTCTCAGTGGCCTTGGGAAACCAACCACCTACCTAGGAAGAACGCAGGCCTGGCAGGTAATACTCCTGTCAGCTCTGAGTGTTATGAGTTCACTGTTTTTAAAAAATACATTTCCTCTAAGGAGCTCAAGTCCACAAGAGATGAGCATGGAATATGGCAGATGCCAACATTAAAAATATCAACCCCCTTCTAGGAAGAATACATTATTAAAATGAAAACAATCTCCAAGTTGAAATCTCTCTTTCCTGGGTTTACCCTGAAGCACCTCTGGACAGCACTGGGCTCTCCCTTGACTATGCTCTGGGGAAAAGTTCTTTCACAATCCAGCAGGGAAACTGCAAATGGAAAGCAGAGGACTTCTTACCTGGCTGGGCCGAGGTATGCGCTGTTGCTGGTTTTCACTGGGCTTCACTGGAATTGGTTTGATGAGATTGGGGTTGTCATAGATGGCGGATGAACTGGTTATCTGTTTTGGCTCAGAACAGGTTTTACACTGAAATGGAAAAAAGCACCTCATTTTGGGTATAAAAGAAGCTCTCATCTTTTTAAAAGAACATAACTTCTCGCTCCTTATTTTATCTAATTGGTAGCTATTTTTTGATAGACATTCATGCGAAAAGGAAAATGACAATCTCCTCTGATATGAGGATATAAATCAAATTGCAGTTTAATTTTTCTTAGTTGCACAATTTCGGCGCCCTAAAGTACTACCGATGGCATTAGCCCTAAGACTGAGAGGCTCAGAGATATTTGGATATTTGAAAGGCTAAAGATATGCTTCAGAAGCAATAGTTTAAAAATATCTAGTCTAATGCTTTTCAATGACAAACAGTGATAGAAACAATTCTTTAAATGCCACGTCTGGATTACAGTATGGTTTTATTCACCCATCAGCAGTTGATTTAAAATTGGAGGGTTGTATCACCAAAACAACTGACCCGTTTTGTTCTACAAACCAAAAAGTAAAGCTGACTCACACCACTGCCTTAAAAATTACTAACATCCTCTTTATTTAATAGATGGCTTTTAACATAAACAGAATAATTCATAATAATCTGAATAAAATAACTCTGAGCATTCTGAGCCACTCACTACAAATTAGAACTTCACAGAGAAAGAGATGAGAGACAAGACCCATCATTTCAAATACTGAATCATTATCATACATTAATCTAACCAACCATACAATCGCTAACACAGTAGGATTCATGACACAAAGAACACAGCGATGACGGCGGTATCTATCTGGTTAAAACACCAACTAAAACTGAATATAAAATCATTACCTTCTATTATATACTCTCCATAGCATTGCTAGTTTCAACCGTCAAGGTCTCAGGTAAGAAAATATTTCACACTGTTCCTGACATGGAATGAGACATAAACATAATCTCAACCCCCAGGAACCCAGGGCTTCCAGTATGTTTTACAATTACTGGGTTGTATTTTCTAATTCAAGGATGTAGGAGCATGGGTCAATCACCACCAAGTTCACTTGGACTTGTAAAGTTAATTGTACAAAAGACTAATCATTTTCTTCCAAGAATTCTATCAGTAATTTGGATATTTGGCACTAGATGAAGTGGGATGTGAAATCCCACTGTGAGTCATAAAATGTTATTTCTTATTCTTAGATGAATGCTGGTGGTTAATGGTATGGCTGCATGAACTAACTGGCCTGGCTTTCCAAGGCAATAACCAACACAAGACACTTAAAAACAAAATTTTAGCATGAAAGTCTTTAATTTCTGCTTGCTATAGAAAGGAAAGTGGATGCTCAGATTACATTCACTGAATGACCCTGTCTGTATGTTTTCTTTTCTTTTTTTTAAGATTTTATTTATTTATTTTATTTACTCACTTATGAGAGAGAGAGAGTGCAAAGGGCAGGGGAGAGGAGCAGAAGGAGAGGGACAAATAGACTCTGTGCTGTGTGTGGAGCCCGATGTGGGGCTGGATCTCATGACCCTGAGATCCCAACCCTGAGATCACAACCTCTCTGTGTTAAGAGACCTTGAATCTCAAACAAAGAAAAACAGATTTTTCCCCACCTTCCCTATACATATACCCACACGGGCTGAAAGTCTGCCCTGTCTCCTGCTATGCATAAGCCCTAGATATCCTTTCTAAGTAAAATTGCTAGAAGCTGTTTTCTATCACTGAAGCCTTGCTTTCATGTAAAAATTGCTATCAAATTGCTCAGAATTAAACATCATCTACCTCAATAGTTCATAGCTCATTTTCCAGCTGTTTAATTTTCTATGCTTCTCCTGACCCAAATAACTTTAAGATACTTGGGGGAAAAAAAAAAAAAACAGAGTTGGAAAAAGTGTATAATAGATTCTCCATAGAGATCCTGAGGCACTTCTTTAAAGCCTTAAAAACTGTGTCACATGATCCCATTTTTTCACACACAAACACAAACATATGTACTCATGCCAAGAGAAGAAAATACACTGGAAGAAAATACACTGAAAGCATTAAAAGTAGAGATCTTTGGGTTACAGGATTATGGATATTTTTTATTTCACTTTTCTACTTTTTTGAATTTTCTCACTGAGCATCAAAAGACACTCAGTAATTTCTTTAGTTTTATAAATAAGTCACAGTATATTGAAAGAGAACTATTAACTCTTGCCTTAAGCCACAAAACACAAAATAGTCCACTTTTTTTTCTGCATACTCAGAACTTAACTACATGGCCAAAGATCTTTTCTGGCCCTGGTTCTTCCTCTTACTGTGAGTTGGTGGTTTTACTGTTCATTTGCATCTCAACCAGGAGTCTAATAGGGAGGAGGTAAAAGGATGTGAAGTTCAAATTAACACCATGCTGCCTTATAGCAGATTCACAGAAAATTGTTTCTTGGGGGAAAAACATAAAATATTGGCCAAAATAAGGTTTTTAAATTATTTTATTAACTTCACCTAACAGTTGCATCTGATGTCACTAGGCTTTACTTTACCAACAATATACCTCTAGCTGAAATTTTTCCTCCTCTTATTGTTTTGGGTTTTCATAAACTGAAGTATTTTAAAGTTGGCAAGAGCTCAGAAGTCACTGAGTTTAATCTATACTCAGAAAAGTGACATATTTTTTCCTAATAGCCCAGTATGTCCCCATGCAGTCTCTTCCTGAATACTCCTGGTGATGGGAGAGCCATTTCCTTACACGAGAAATCCCAGGGAAATCCTGTCTTCTTCTCTTTTGCCTCTGTGTTCCCCCTCTCCCATACCTCAGAGGCATTTTACTCATGAACTCCACATTTTCTGAAATGTCTGTGTGTGGGAGAAGAGGTTACACGAACACAGGCAAATATAAAGCAGGTCTGCACAATGCAGTGGAAGTTCATGGGGAAGCATATACATCAGGTTGTGCAGATCAGAAATAACAGGATGGGCAAAGCCCATTTGAAATGGGGCCTGAAAGAGTGATCATACATTGACAGGTAAAGAAGGAGAGGGGACAGCATGGGAAGAAAGCCATGAGGCCATTAGAGGAGGCAGCACTGTTACTCCACTTTGCAGGAGTTTCAAATATTTGTAGAGGGGAGTGTGGGGAGAAGGTAGAGAGGTTAGGAGAATAACCTGGGGCTACGTTATGCAATCCTTGAGGAGTCTGAAGGTCCATATGCCAGGCCATGAGAAACCAAGAAGAATTTAGACCAGAGAAGTAACAGGTGCTCCTGGAAGGTTACATCCTCTGGCTGTTAATGGCAGAAGGGATAATTTCTTCTGTTGTTTATCACACAGTTGGAGCAATTAATGTTTTGTATATAACATGTATTTGATTTTATAGAAAAGCAAGTCTATATACCGATTAAACACCTGCACTTTATGTCAACATTATAACAATCAATCTGGGGAAGCATAATGATGAATAGAACATTGCTTCGACCTCAATAAGCTTATGGTGGGAGAAACTGACTTAACTGTAATAAATGAGGAAGAGCAAAATAAATTCTAAATAGTAACAGACTGGTGAGTTCAGTGGAAAGAATAATTAACCTGAATGAAGAGATCTGGGAAAACTCCGTGTAAAAGGTAGAATTTTAACTGGGCCTTGAAGAATATGGAGATTCTGAAGGGCAAAGAAAGTGAGGGAGAAACACGGCAAGTTGCAGGTACAGTTTAAAGTGATGGTTTAAGTCTCTGAAACCACGTATGAGTGTTTGTGTGTGTGTGTGTGTGTGTGTGTTCTGTGCTCTTTTGTGAGACAGTCAGGTGCAGCTAGAGGGGAGACACTGGAGAGGCTCAGGGAACAAATATATTTATAGGTCTTAGCAACAAGAGGCCACATGGGAAAGCCTCAGGATGGGCAGAAGACAGAAAGCAGGGGCTGGGGGGAGCCAAGACTAGAGCCTCTACTGGGGTTTCTGCACTTTGGGATTGGCTAGTCTGGACACTTCTCAGTAGGCTTTAAACTATAGGGTGATCCCTAGTCCTGTGACCTGAGATAATTAAGGCTGAGGAATATTGTCTCCTGGGGTGCTGGGGGCCAGATGAAGAAGGGATGGCTCTGGATGGCTAGTTTGCATGGCAAAGGCAGCCTCTGACTGGGCCCTTTGCTAGCTCTAAGAATTAATTAGTCCAGGGGAACCTGGATGACTCCGTTGGGTAAGCAGTGAGCTCTTGATCTCAGCTTAGGTCTTGATCTCAGGGTTCTGAGTTCAGGCCCTGTGCTGGGCTCCACGCTGGGCATGGAGCCTACTTATTTAAAAAAAAAAAAAAATTGTCTAGCCCAGGGAGGAGGATTCTGGCCCCAACCAGATGACTTTTAAGATGTCAAACATCATAAAATAAAAATAATACAATGTGTGTGTGTGTGTGTGTGTGTGTGTGTGTGTGTGTGCTGGGAGGAGGGAAGGAGGAGGAAGAAAGTAATTTTTGTTCAGTGTATGCCTTTTTTATTTATTGGCCATTGTTGTGCTGTCCTCACAGAACCCAAGTTCCTGGAGGGCAAAAATGTCACCATTTGAGACTGATCTTTAGGGTGCCTAACATAGTACAATTAGGTAAAGTATAATTAACTGATAGTTGCCAGGTTATTAGATGTCTTTTAACAGCTGCTGAAGAATTAAGCAAAATGGAAAACTAATAAAAAAATCGTTGTTACTGACCGCATCTGGGATTGAAGCACTTCTGTCCAGGCCCTCTGATTGAAGGACAATGAAACTGTGATTAATTCATATCCATAGACATTGAGTCAATCAACAACCATTTATTTAGCACATATGTGCCCGGAACATTGAAGGAGACTAGGCTTATGAAGAAGAATACAGGGTGTTTGTTCTCTGTGCTCAAGGAGCTCACAGTCTACCCATCAAGGGCAAGCCAACCATCAAATCAAAGCCATGCTGGAGAAAACTGGCCAGTTGTCCTTTAGCATGTCCCGCTTCATTCAGGACTTTTCTGATTGCTTCTTTGTCATGCCGTTTGTTTTCTGCCTGCCCCTCTTCCCTTTCATTTTTAGTAAATTAGTTAAGTTTAAGAAAGCTCACAACGGGGATGGAACTAGAGGGTATTATGCTAACTAAGCAAACTACGTCAGTCAGAGAAAGACAAATACCATTATGATCTCACGTGGAATTTAAGAAACAAAACAGATGAACATAGGAGAAGGGAAGGAAAAATAAAATAAGATGAGAACAGAGAGGGAGGCAAACTGTAAGACTCTTAACTCTAGGAAGCAAACTGAGGTTTGCTGGAAGGTGGGATGAGGTAATTGGGTGATGGGTACTAAGGAGGGCACTGGATATAATGAGCACTTAACTAAATTGAATTTAAATAAAAAATTAAAAGATTCAGGATCAACAATATATATTTCAAGATGGGGCTACAAAATCCACATTATATCACATTAGAAGACACACGACATCTGATTATTCAACCTTTAACGGCACTGGTCAGTGGGCTCACGTGGTGGTAGACTGATTTTCATGGGCAAGTTTCCATCAACCTTTCTAATATTTACATTACTAACGATCATCACTTGAATCGCTTATTTTACTAGCCTGGTTTTAAGTTCTATCATTTCATCTACACTCAATAGCTGGAATTCTTTGGTAGAGAAGACTTTACCTCATCAACTGGGATCATGTGGCTCCTCTGAAAATTTGTATCTCCTGGTCAGACAGGATAAATGTTTAATTCCTTCCCATTAACTACCAGTTTTCAGAGGAAAGAGCTGGTATCTTAGTACCTCCAAGAACAGCCAGTAATTACTTTTTGTTCTATTTTACATTTTTGTTCTGCTTGCTCACTGATCGCCATGAACTCAGAGCTTATAGGAGCTCAGTGGGTTTCAATCTACTGTAGTCTTTCTTGCTGATGCCATTTCTCAGTGGCCTCTTCGACTTGACTGCTATGCCCCTTTCATATCACTCTTGTTTACTTGATTTTCCTAAACCCAGACATGGAATTGGGAATCTCTTTAAAGAGCTCTGCTACTTTTGGCATGAGGGGGAGAATAGTATTTAGAAACAATAATCTGGGGGCCAGAGGTGCTTGCTGCTCCTGAGTTGTCACTTATTTCTAGGTCTCTTCAGGGAAAAAAGTGAGTAACTACATATTTAAGAAACAAAAATATGAACTAACTCTTACATTCCAACTTAAAATTTAATGTTAGATGGTTTTAACTTAATATCTTTTTACAATGAATGTTTTGTTCTGACCGCATAAACATACTCATTCATTATATCCACGACAGCTAAAAAATTACAATGCCAATATTACCATTAACAATGAAACCACTGAATGAAGTTTACAATTTCTTTGCAGTTCTTTTTGTCTAAGGGTATTCAGTCCAACTATGGGGTTCTGAAGTCACTCCCCAATTTCTTTTCCAAGTAAATATGTCATAGTATGATATTCAGTTATGTAATGCTTATTTCAGCTGGTTTCTAAATTCAAGGTTTTAACTGTCTTTTGTTCTCTTAATTTTCTTTTTTCCCATGTTTCTAGAGAGTGATAATCTTTTAATTCTCAATTTTTATAAAAGCAGTTTATAAAATTGAGAAATTAACCCTCCTGTTTACTTAGGTATAAACATTTCTTTTCACTTTGCTTGTGTTTTTTTAAAACCAGGCAAAACATTTATTTTTTTATTTTTATGTAGTTGAGTTAATTGCCTTTGGGTTTTAAGGCAGAGTTTATTAGGAAGACTTCCCCTTTCTAGATTACAAAGAAATTCATACACATTTTCTTCTGGTGTTTGAATGGTTTTATTTTTAACATTTATATTTCTAATACATTTGGGATTTATCCTGGTATAAATCCAATTTTGTATTTTTCCAAATGGCTGCCACTTGTCCCAATATCATTTATTTAAATATCCACTCAAACGGCTGATTTGAGATTTTCATCTTTATCATGTCCTAAATTTCATATACACTGGGGTGTCATTTGGACTTTCCCACCTGTCCTATTGGTCAATCTGGCTGTTTATGCATCAGTAACATCAAGACCATACAGTTTTAAGTGCTTACGGTTTAATTCCTTAATATCAGACAGGTAGAGCTTGTTCCCCCTTCTCTCCCATCCAATATTGCTCTTGTCAAGATTTTTCCCACTACTCTTTCTTACATATTTCTCCATATGAACCTGCTAGTCAACTTGTCTGGCTCCAGGAAAGAAGAAACCGTCTGTGTTTGTTTAGGAATCATCTTAAATGTGCAGATTAAATAGAAGTGAGTGCTTTAAGTTTTATCTTCTTATCTAAGATCAGGACATAACCTTCCCATTTGTTCAAGTCTATTTTTACGCCTGTCAGGAGTGTTTAAAAGTTTTCTTCATACAGGTTTTGCTCATTTCTTGCTAATTTTATTCTGAAGAATGTTATATTAATAGCTGCTACGGTAAATGGCGTCTTCGAGTAAACCTTCTGATTGGATACTGTTTGTATATAGGAAGGCTGCTGATTTTTTAGTCTACCTTTTAATCCACTTAAAACAAACGGTATTGTTTAGCTTGCTAAAAACAAATAGAGATTTAATTTTTCATTTGATTTTGTTTGGTGGAAGGAATAGCACTAACCCTTCTCCCAAAAGCATGTTACTGCTGTAGGATTTAAGTATGTTTCACAAAAGAAGACAAAAACTCACCTTGGTGTATTCATCTTTGGCCTTGGTGAGCATTCTTAAGATATCTACTTCCTTGCCCTCTCCTGAATTGAGGATCATTGGGGAGTTTCCTGTTCCACCTCCCTGATGGGCTTTCAACTGTTCATATTGAGTTAGGCTAGAAAAATAGAGGGGAAAATCCACACAAGAAAAACAAACTCAACACAAATGGCTTATAAAACCATCGAATTCCCATCCACATGTTTTTATCTTTGTTTTTTTAAGATTTTATTTATTTGTCAGACACACACACACACAGAGCGTGCACAAGCAGGGGGAATGGGAGAGGGAGAAGAAGGCTCCCGGCTGAGCAAGGAGCCTGAGGCGGGGTTCAATTCCAGAACCTTGGGATCATGACCTGAGCCAAAGGCAGACGCTTAACTTACTGAGCCACCCAGGCGTCCCCACTTATTTTTATCTTGTTATAGTCATAGTAGAAGTAAGACTGCTCAGGAAGTGAAAGAAGAAAAACGAGAGTTGAGGTCCCAAGTATAGTGACTACACGTATGAACCCAGGGGAGGGGTGGCCAAACTACGTCCTGCAGGCCAAATCCAGCACACCAAGTGTTTTTGTAAAGAAAGTTACCAATAGCCACACTCACCGGTTTATGTCTCATTTACATCTACTGGTGGCTTTCACACCATGATTGCTAAGCTGAATAGTGACAGAGACCTATGGCCTTGCAAGGCCTGAAACACTCACGATCTGTTTGTTTGTTTGTTTGTTTGTTTTTTCAGAAAAAGATTGCCAACTCCTCATTTGGAGCACTTGAAAGGACTCATTAATTGCTGAGGAAACCCAATTTAGGGTTCTCAAACACTGAGCAAACCCCAGGGCAAATCGAGATCCACTCCCCTTTTTTGTTTCAATGTGCCTTGTACTCAAAGCAAAATTGACCTCAGCAACTCAAATCCTATAATCCTCTGGCAAATTATAAACTGTGAAGATTTCATTCTAGAAGAGGGGGCGTTAAACAAACAAACAAACAAACATCCTCCCCCCCGCCAAAAAAAACCCCAGAGCAATGAAGAGTGTCTTCTGTTTTCCTGAAAACAATACAGGAGGGAGACCAGATCGCTCCTAGATGGTGCCAGGTGACATTGAGAAAAATACTTTTTCCTTCTGTGTACTTTGACTTTCAGCTCAAATTTTTATAACGGCCATGTCATTTATGGTAAAAGACACCTGAGAACTTAAGGGAAGATTTAATTCTAACTGAGGAAGGGCTCGGAATCTACACTTATCAGCTGCTTATTGCTAGTCAACAATCAATTTCCTGCCCCAGCTGTTAAGTAACTATTGCCGAATGCTAACAATTTGAACATGGTCTCTCAGCTGAGCCGTGGGGTATTTTTTCATCTATATGAAATCCTGCTATTATGATCCGTTGTACGGTTTAAAATAACATGAATGTGTTAGGAACTAGTGGTGATGGGGGTAAATACCAGTTTGAACCCACTTAATCACCATCTGTAACGTGAGCTGGTTACCTACAATTAGCGATCATCACAGGCTAGATTTTCAGAAGCCTATTTATAAAAAAGTGTTCCCCACATTCATTTTTGGGGGTCACTTTTTAGTCATTTCATTGCCCCGGGATTTAAAATTGGAAAATGGGTGCCTTCACAGATGGAGATGTTTTGTCCAATCTGCGTGGACAGCTGCCATATTGTGTGTTTGGTGGAGCCGGTCACCGGCTGAGATACGGCCTGGGTAGGAAACCGATTTTGTTCCAAGGCTCTAAACCATCCCCTTAAAGCAGGGAATTAATTGCCTCTCAGAGAGCAGCCTCGGGGCTCAAGGACTGATCAAAGAGTTTACCAGTCACAGAGGAGACAGCATGCTTACCCGGGCCTCCCTTTCAGTGCAGTCAGGGAGCCACGAGTAGGACAGTCAGACCCTGATTTAACTTTCCCAAAACGCGGGCAAGACAAACCACAAGGCATCAAGAGATTAAAAGAAAGAGACCAGCAACAAAAAAAGGGACTGCCTACTGATCACTAAACCAATACTGACTCCGATATTTCCAACAAGACTGAAAATAAAGTCTATCCTGAGTACTCACAGCATTTGAGACATGAGGAAACTCTGAGCTCCCACAACCCTGGATATGCAGTTATAGGAAGGCATTTAGGGCCGGAAGGAAAGATCTTAGAGAAAGTGTAGCAGCCTTTAAAATGTTCTGAATGTTCTTTTTACTGTCAGCTACACTGATAACTTTTCAGAGAAAAAAAAAAAAAAACCTGCTAATTTACAAATGAGGAAAATACTGAAGAAAACTGCCATCTGGAATAATTCATATTATAGGTATTTCCCATAAGCAGAACAAAAATGAGGTGAACTATTCTACATGATAAATCTTACCTAGTGAAAATATAGAGGACATTAGGAGTAGGAAAAGAAAAGTGAAGCGGGAGGAATCAGAGGGGTAGACGAACCATGAGAGACTGTGGACTCCGAGAAACAAACTGAGGGTTTTAGAGGGGCAGGGGGTGGGAGGGATGGGTGAGCCCCATGACGGGTATTAAGGAGGGCACGGATTGCATGGAGCCCTGGGTGTTATATGTAAACAATGAATCTTGGAACACTATATCAAAAACTAATGATGTTCTGTATGATGACTAACAATAACAATAAAAAATAAATTAATTAAAAATAAATTTTAAAAAATTTAAAAAATATGAAACGTGTGACTTATGTTTATTTTTCCTTTAAGTAATAGTAAACGTTTTCCTAGCCACAGTGGAAAGGACTGCCGTAAGAGGTCCATTCTGCTTAGAGTATAGTGGAGTTACACTGAGAAGCTCAGACAAAAGCATCAGGTCCAGAAAATACTTAGCCTTTCAGCACCTACTTTTTCATTAGCTCTGCAATTCTTTGGCATTCTTCCTTATCATAAAACCAAATCCCATAAATGGACACTGCAAAAAACACATCAAACAAATTATGAGCGCCTTCAAAACTACAAAATGGAACTTGAAGGAAAAAAGTACTCATGGAAAAATGAAACCCACCACCGGAGTTTAAGCTGGAAAACCTAGTGTTGGAATTGTCTAAGCCCCCAGAGAACTCTGAAGTGTGGTCTTACACATATGCAGGGACACCCCCTCCCCCATAAAGTGTGCCGTCCTCAACAGTATAGCACCTGAACATAACATGCATTTGGCAAATGCTTCTTAAATGAATGAATACAGATTGAGGATGAAGTCAGAATTTCTGAAGTCCTGGCTTTGAAACATCACTGTGTCCAGACTCCATTTGCACACATATTCCATCTTTACTGTGAAGTATCCAGAAACCTGATGCACGAAATTAGGCCTACAAACCTCTCTCCCTCCTCCTCCTCCTCCTCTTCCTCCCAGGAATATGTTCACCAAGAAACTGGCTCTGTAAGCTCTGAGTTAGGACACAGTGCAGGAAAAAATAAAATTCAATAACAAATCTCTGACTTCAAAATGCCTGTATGGAAAATTTACAACTGTTGAAAGATGAGATGTAACCATAACTTAATCGTTTAGCAATGAAAGAAAAATGTGGTATAATGGAGCTACAGATTCATATAACAAGTTTCAGATAAATTGTATACTTTAATATGTGCCTATCTACATCATTTTTATAGCAAAGGCTAAACAGTTCCAAAATACATTTATAAAGATCTAATTGAGGATCTGGTGGTATTAATCATATAAATATTGCATTAGCTACAGATACATTTTCAAATGCTTCATTGAAAACAGCAGCAGTATTATGATAGGGAAACAAAAACCAACAAAATATATTTTTTTGAAGGAAAAACCATTAAAATTTAAACATTCAAAATATTTAATTTTCTGAATGTTATTTGGTCATTAAAACAGCTGTGATGCTTTGACAACTTCTTTCCCCCCACCTGACCAGTGCCTCAGTGTGGGATTTCTGCTTCTTGTCAGTAATGATTCAGATAACGAAAGCTTCAGGAAATGTCTTCCTAGTGCTATTTTAGGCAGGTATGTTTAAAAGGAACCCCATAAATCTGAATTACTGACTTGCCAAAAGGTGGCAACGGGGTTTTAAACTTTTTGTATGATTAGCGTGCCAGGATTTCTTACCAACCCCCATGTGAAGAGGAAAAAAACAATGGAAAGAACCCTCCAGCTTTTCTAGAATAGGACCATTTTATTATCTTAGAAATACATACACATATTCCTCTTTAATACATTGATAATCTTTTGGAAAAAAGAACATCTGAGCTCTGAAGCCTATGGGCCTTACTATCAAAAAGTAATTCTTCGTTTCAAGATCATTAAATGTGTATCTAAAACTTTTCATTCAAGATTGTTAGCAGCCCATCCCCACCAGCGTCCTACTCTGTCTGCCCACAGACACTGTGACACACTAACCTGCCATGGCTTCTATCTCTGGCAGCACAAGTACCCTGATCACTAACATTTAAGAAATAAATCTGAATATGTTTGTGTCTTATGGTGGTTTTAATCTTAGTGATAAAACTAACAGCCACGTCTGCTTTTTTGGTTCTGGTGATAACTTCCTTTTCTGGGAGACTGGGCTTTCCAAAACTATCAGAAAAGAAAGGTGGTAGGTAGCAGGAGAGAAAACCACAGCATGACTAGGAACCTCTGGGCCCAGTGGCAGCGTGGAACCAGCCATTTGTGCCTAATCTGTAGGATGTATTCGTAGAAATGCTCTGAGTGTCATTTGTTTGTTTGTTTGATGTTACACATTTGTGGCATTTGACATACGGAATCCAGTTTTCATAAGAGCAGGATGCCAAGGCAACTGTTGATACAAGCAGAAAAGAGTCTGACAATGTCATTACCATGAAATAACTGAAATGTAGATTTAGGGAGGAAAAATGCTATGAAAACATCTTTCAGATGTCAGCGCAGAATGAAAGGAAGACCAGGTTTGTAATGACTATTTAAGCCATTGTGGCGATTTCCTCAGGGCCTGACCATTTATCTCTAAACAACATGACTTCAAGAGTAAAATGGGCTCATTTTGAAATGGCATTTTTCATCCCAGTTCATACTTGGTTTGAATGTAAAATGTAACCAGTCCGTGGAGAAAAAACCAGATTTACTAACAGTCCTGGCTACTGTCGAACTGGGCCCAAGTTTTTTCTCCTTAAAATAGTTTTGCGACTTGCGTTGCATTCCAGCAGGAGCCGGCCACAGTTCCATCTGTGCACATTCCAGCCGAAGTTTTCTGCCTCTTAGGCCCAAGGCTTCCCAACCCCTGGACAAACCTATCAGTCTTCTTGCACAAGAGGGTATATCAAAGCAGCTCGTGGTGATATATAAAAACCAGAGATCATCATGCCTCAGGGAGGTGATGAGCTGACAGGCTGACAGAAACCATTAACTTCACATTTCAATCCCAGTTTTCCTGTAAAAGCCACTGGGTGAGAGGCTCATCCTTCGGGAGGCAGTGAGTACGGCAAGCAAGGAAGAAAAAACTTGGTTGAAAAGAACCCAAAAAGAAGGTGTGGTTTTTCGAATTCTGAGTTTGAAAAAGTAATCACAGTGACCTGAATTTGCAGCGATGGGGACCTGCCGTGTGGACCTGTGGAACGCTGAAATGTTCCTCTGGGAATGACCTCTGGGCTTTAAGAAATTACAAGGAGAGAAGCTCGTAGGAGGATATTTATTTACTTGAAAACGGTGACCTATTAGTACACATCTGGCAGTTCAGCATGCTTCGAGCCTTCGGCCAGCCCACCGCGCCTGCGTACCAGCCGCTTCCCAGCCACCCCACCACTGAAGCCGAGGCGAAATTTAAGGGCACTTTGGTGCATGAAGCTCAACTCAATTGCTTCTACATCCCACCTGGAGGTAAGAAACCCCAAAGTGGGATAAAGAATAGGAAGAACAGGTTGAAATGTACTCCAAAATATTCTAATGACCTCTAGAATGTGTGACCTAAGGACTCATCTTTTTGGTGGTCCTCTTCGTATTCAATCCAAGACTTTTCAACAACACAGTTGTGAAATTTTGCCTAAAATAGCGCTGTCGTGGTCTGTCTCATGCTTTGGAAATTCTCAGTCAGAAACAAATCCGGTGTTGGGGGCAACAGGCAAGGTAATACTGCCTTTTCATAGCTCCTGAAGCATCAGTTTTCCCTCTTCCTTTTAATTCTGCGTGGATGATTAAGGACAGCCAAATCTCTCTATTAGATTTTGTGTCCGAATATCATAGGTACACACAGAAGACAGAACAAACTGACTGTATCTGATAATGGTATTTTCTTCTTTTTTTGATTTCTTCAGCAGAAAAATCTAAAGCTGATAAAATGTTAAGAGGCCAGTTAAGAGGTCATCAGAGGCAATATCAAAATGTCCTTAAATGCACATTCATTTAGAATTCTTGGATTCTTTTTAGCATGGAGCGTGAGTTTATTCTGGCTGTTCTTTCGGAATTAACCTTATCTAGTTTGTGTTCCTAACAAATATTTCTATACAATCTGTTCTTTGAAGCCATTTATCATTTGTTTCATATTTTACCCAAAATACCTTTCAACACCAAATCATGAATGGTAGCTTGCAATCTTTTAACAAGGATTCATGATAATATTTGTGCAACTTTAAAATATAAGGCATATTCCCATGCAGTCAGGAAGTAGATAATACATAATTATATAGGTAAAGTTTAAATAGGCATGAGAAGGATATCTGATTTGCTAATGCTCTCCTTTCTCTCTTTCTTTAATAATAATTTCACTCAAAAGCCTAGGGATATATATTTCTTAGTCGGGATGCAGCAAGGAAGGCACTTATATTCTCTTTTTCACTAGGAAAACTATGGAAATGTGGCAGCGTAAATTACACACATCTCTTCTGTGCACTTCAGGGTAAACCAAAATTTTTAAAATTCCTTCAAACCCCGTTTGTCTCATCAAGTCTTTCCCAAACAAGTGGAATAATAATCCCAATGTAAGAACCAAGAACATCTAATCAGACATTTGATGTAAACACTTGTTTTTGAGACTTTGCTCAAATATCCTATTTCTTGATTTATGGTACCATTTATCTAGTTCCAGTTTCTGTAAGACTGACCACACTGATGATGACTGGTTACCGGTATTTGGTAGTAAGCACACACACACAGCTACGACCCCCCCTGAAAGACCACACGGTGGTTAAGAAATTAGAAAGTTAGAACCGTGAAGTTTCAGAGCTGGAAGGCAGCTGAGACGTGTGTAGTTCAACTGCCTATTTCACTAACGAGGAATGTGTGGTCTCACAAGGTGAAATGACTTAGCCAAAGACCTCTTGACTGGTTCCATCTGTTTCTCTGAAATACGCTCCTCCCCCAGCCTTACAAATGAAGTAAGTAAGAACAGAAACAAGTTTTATATTTGACTGAGTTGTAGACTTGGTTGTAAGAGACAGGAATGAGGCTTTTCTAAAACCAGCTTCATGTGGCATCTCAAGAGGAAAAAGGCAAGATGGAAGAGAGGGAGGAAAGGAGTATGGAAGGAAGGAAAGGAGTATGGAAGGAAGGAAAGGAGAGGGAAGAAAGAGGAATCGGAGACTTCTAGTATTGGCCAGACTTCGGGGCAGTGAGTGCTAGGACAGCAATCACACTGCCCAAGTCCTGGCAGCCACAGATGGGAAACAAAGCTATGTTTGGTGGCTCCATGTTAACTCTGTACTTCTAGCCCATTTGGAATGCTTTGCCCTAAAAATTATTTTCTTCCTCATGTTCTTTAATGCCTTTAAAGTAATGTTCTTTCATTCACCTTCTGCCTTAGCTCTACTGACCAAACACGGACACAATCTTGTAAAACAGAATCTTCACTGGCCACAGAGAGTCTACATAGCATTGTTATCTTTGGCCCCTGGTCTGGTTCTTTTCATATGACATAGTTTTACTGCACCTCACAAATCAGTGATCCCATGATCTCAAAATATTGGAGAGTTCGC